CCCCAAAACCCCAAAACCCCAAAACCCCAAAACCCCAAAACCCCAAAGGTAGATATTCATATTGAAATTTAAAATTAAAGATGCAAGACAGCGAGAGCTCAAAAGAAGTCGAAATGCAAGACCAACAATATGCTGATGATGAGGACGAAAAAGAAGATTTTAAAGAAGACAAAAAGGAGAACTTTGAAGAAGATGAAAAAGAAGAATCACCTCCTTCTGGAAAGAATAATTACACTTTTTCTGAGAAGAAATAAGAAATCAGATAAAGAATATAAGCAAATTAATGTTGATAGTGGTGCTGCACCTGGGTTGAGCAATCATTATCCCACTATTACCAAGGCTCTCGAGGCTGCTACCCCTTATACGGTGATAAAGATAACCTCTGGAAATTATAGAGAAAATGTCAAGCTTAAAATTCCTTATATTACACTTGAGCCAAAGGAAAAATGTGGAGAGGTCACCATTGTCTCTGGAGGAGATCCTTGTCTCTTTATTGATCTGCCAAAACAAGATGATTATGTTGTTCTTGACAGCATAAAAATTAAGTATAACACAGCCTCAACTAAAGAGGATACCAAGAGTAGTTCGAATAGTGAGAAAATAGATCCTACAAATACTGATGAGAGCATTGACCCAGCAATGCTTTCTCAATTTGTAGAAACCTTTGAGGTTCAAGATCGCATGAAATGTATTGTAAATATTAAGAAAGGGAATCTATATTTAGGCAACTGTAAGGTTGACTTTGAAGGCTCCATGGATCATCATGATGATATTTTCCCTTGCATTGTAGGGCAGAAAAATAGCTCTCTTATTGCTGAATCATGCACAATTAAAGGAGACTCATTGCACGAAGCTAATACAATAGGTGTCTTAATGGAACAACCCAGCATGACTACTCTGAAACATTGTCTTATTGAGCATCATCTTGATGGAGGAATAATCTTAAATCTGAACAGTGAAAGTTTAGTCGATATCACCGAAAATGAGATGCGAGTATGTAAGAAAGTTGGTATCTTCATTCAAGGGGAGGACAGTCTGCCTTCTATCGAGGGCAACTTCATCAAGTTATGTCTATCACCTGCCATAGTCATAGGCACAGGAGTAAGCGCGATGATCAGTAAATAACAATCTGTACTCAGACAAGATGGGCGTAGTCATCCTTAACAGCAAGTCTACCGTGTATGACAATAAGATTAAATAAATCTCACGAGGATGGAATCCAGGTAAGATGCCTAGGCCAGGAGCATGTCTGTTGTCCTACTATTAAAGACAATGAAATCTGCGAGTCAAATGGCAATGGCATCCTTATTGAGGGCGACAATGCAAACCCTAAGATACTTAATAATATCGTTGACAACAATAAGAAATGAGGAGTTATTTTGAAAGATTGTGCTCAAATTGACACCTTCAAGAAGAATTCTATTAGAAAGAATTATACTCAGGGAGTGCTGATAGTAGAAGGCTGTAGTGCTATAATTGAGGACAACACTATCTCTATGAACTTGAAGGCAAACATAGCATATGGAGGCCAAGGCTCTCAAAACACTAAGATTATTAACAATGTCGTCTCTGGCTCTGTTGCTGAAGGAATCTTTGTTGTTGAGGGGCATGAAAACACTGTTATTGTTGATAACAAGGTTGAAAAGAACAAAGATGGCATCGTTTTATACAACTCCAAAGGATCTTGCAAGGATAATACGATCAGAGAGAACCAAAGATCGGGCATTCTTGTCGGGGGTCAAACAAGTGCTGATATTTCAAATAACATCTTAGCTGCTAACATCTGTTTCCAAATTCTAATCAAAGATCCTCGTCAGCAGAAAAAGAAGAAGGACAAGAAGAAGCTGAAAGAACTCTACGAATGTAATAACCTCGAAGAAGCTCCTTCATAATCTTCTAGAACAACTTTAAAGTTTCAATATTTCCGCTGTGACTGGGGTTTTGGGGTTTTGGGGTTTTGGGGTTTTGGGG